ACAGCTGAGCTGTGCCCATACAGGACAATGATCGGATCCCTCCACCTCTGGCATAATGTCCACGCCAATAAAGGCCGACTTGACCAGACAGCAGTTGGCAAAGATGTAGTCGATACGCGTCCCATAATTGGTCTGCCTGGCACCAGTAAGCGTGGACCAGCACGTGAAGGCGTTGGAGCGCTTTGGGTGGAAATGGCGGAAGGAGTCAACAAACTTGCCACCAGAGGCAGATTTCTGGGAGATTTCTTTAAGTTCATCTTCAGTATTTCCATTTTTGGTCTTTTCTGCCGTTCCAAAAAGGAAATGATTTAGCCACTTCCTCCCAGGATTATCTTCAAAGTTATCCTAAATGACACAACAGTAATAAGAACAGATATGTGCTAGTATGTGTATAACTTATGCAATAAAACAATAAATATACCCCTTCCATGTAAATTTCAGCTTTTGTCCTATCCAGTCGCAAGACATTTGCTTGGTTACCTAGTTTTTATTTAAACAGTGTTACATTGGGTGACTCCGCCCACAATTAAATCTCATTGGTCCATTGGAAATCCTGTTCCATTATTATATAGAGTGAGACAGCTGGGTTCTGGAAATAAAAATCCCACAGATTTTCTCCATATATGGAACTGAATTTGAACGATACCTTTATAAACTGTTACAGACAGACCCACTATGTACTACAAGGTTGTTAATCAGTGGTGTATGCTTTTGTTGATGCTATCAGACCGCATTGTTTCTTATTATTTTTTTTAACGTTTGTGTTTAACAGTGGAATTCCTGGTGAAAAACTACATTACCCATGATTCTGTAATCTCCACCAATCAGAGAACTGAAACAAACAAATCACAGCCAAAGAATTCTTATCTACATCGAATCAACCAATTTCCTCCATCTTTTTTAATTTGATTATGTCATTCGTAATGCTTCTTGGGATTGTAGTTCTTTTCCTCATTAAAGATGTACATATATATATATATATGTTGTATATATATATATGTATATAGATGTATATATATATATGTTTGTGACTGTACTGCATTGTACAATGCATTTTTGCTTTTACTGTGGACTTTTATTACTTGTCACAACTAGTCAGGACAACTGGTGGTAACGGAAATCTTGAAATAATGATGGAGGAACATGTTAAAGGACTTACCACATCATCTGGGTCACAGTGGTCTATGGGTTGATGAGAAGTGTTTACATCTCCCAATACAATCACGTGACTGAAGAGTGGCAGAGGAATGTGTTAATCAAAACAAACAGACATCTTAGATCTTAAAAAAAACTTTATGATAATACATATCGGATCAGTGTATTAAACTATTTTTCTTTTCCTTCTATCCTCTATCCCTTCTTTTTTGAAAACCAAAATATGATCACACTGTTAAAGCAACACAAAGAGACAAACTGGTCTTTTTAACAATATATCAGGGAATAAAACAGCACTTTGTGTATGTGTGCATGAACAGATGATGGTTTTATCGCTCTCTCACCTCCCTGAGCTCAAGATGGCTTCAGCTCTGCATTGGAGGAGCCGGTAAAATTGGAGCTTGTATTGTTTTCTCTCAGGTTTGTCTGGGTCAGCTCGGGGACAATAAACATTGATAATGGTCAGCTTCTGTGGTCCATCTGTGCCACTGAGAATAAAAAAATAAATATGTGAAAACAATTTAAAGGGATAGTTCACCTTCAGTTGCTGGTCCCCTTTGACTTCCATAGTATGGAAAAAAACACTATGCAAGTCAATGTGGACCAGCAACGAAAGGTGAGCTATCCCTTTCACAACATGTTAGGCTAAAACTACTAAATGTCCAAAAGTTAAGATCCTTAAACTTACATGAAGTAATGCTGAGTGATGACAGCTCTTCCTTCGTTGTCTAGCGCCAGAAGCTCCTCACTGGACAATTCAACCTGGTCTCCATAGCAACCAACAGCCTCTCCCTGATTGGCCAGCAGACCTGTCAATCCTTCCTCGGCCAGGAATGGAGTAGCGCTATCCTTACAGTAGGTCGCAACACCTGGTCAGGGAGAAAATCAGGTTGTTCATAGTTCATACTCATAGCTGAACAGCACAGACAGCTGCAGACAGTGGTTGTAAAAGACAAGGCTACATTTATTTTAAAAAATAAAAATATGGACATGAATCCGGTGTTGAAAACATTGCGGTTTTTATTTAAAATCCCTTTGCACACTTTACTGTCGTTTAATGGTTCTATAGGTTGCTGTACCTGAGTATCCACTTCGTCCTCGGCTAAAACTAAAGTATGAATTGTAGCCATCAGCAATTGCTGTCTTCTCATCCAACAGGTCACCTGAAAAAAAATGTATGCTGAGCTGTTAAAGTTATTAAATGGTTAAAAATAGGGCTCATGTGCTTTATCACCCATTCAAAGTCCCGCGTTTCTTTAAAACACTTACGGGTAACTTTAGTCTCTTGAACGCAGATTATATCGGCATCGAAGGAATCCAGAGTTGTCTTGATGCCATTTTTAAACGTTCGTATGCCGTTTATGTTCCACGTTACAATTTTCATGTTTATCTGTCAAACACCGTCGGACGATTCAAGCTGAATGCATGTGTGAAGTACTGACCTTATTTTTGTCCGTCTCAAATATTTTCAAAATAAAAGTATTTACACCTGCGTTTATTCAAAATACTACTAGTCTAAATTAGGGATGGGAAAATTCCCCGATTCCCTCGGTGCATCGGTTAAAAAAGTGTGCATCGGCTACAAGTTGCCATTTATATTGCGATGCATCGTTTCTAACATAGTTGCATCGGTAAAAACCGATTTATTTATATATAATTACTAGTGGGTGTGCTATACTTTTATTATTTAGAAAGTGACCACAACACCACGGAGACTCGAGGAAAAACTGGCATTAAAGTCCAAAACCTGACTTCAAATAACCTAACAAATCAATAGGGGATAAAGCGGTTCCATTAACGACTAATTAAATTCACATTCCCTCACTAATTTGTGCACGCTTTTTCTTAAGCAGACCTTAACGTCGATCATGGATCAAATCGAACCACCATGACAAACAGCGAATATATCTGTGCTGTTTAATGCATTTGAGACGTTGTGTTTTCCTCAGAGCATAACTGACATGTCACAGGTATATTTTTCATCTGTTTCTAATTTATTGAGATGCACCTGTAAATGTGTCTTTTGTAGAATTTTAAACCTACATATCAAGTGTATTTTTATGATAGCAGTAACTGTAAGTGGACTATTGTCATTGGTAAATCAAATGCAAGCTAGTAGGCTACTAATTACTAAGCTCAAATTAGTTAATGTGTGTTTCTTATAGCAGTTAAAATGTAGTCATTTTCTTTATTATTTATTTTCATTTTTAATTCAGTGATTTGTTTTATGAAACAGGCCTTGAGGCATTAAAAGTGATCATATTTTCTCCATTGCATCGAATCACATTGTGTTGAATCGAATCGAATCGAAAACGGATCGCACTGCATCGTAATAGGGGTGAAACGTATCACATTGCATTGGTAGCTGCTTCATATATTTAATGTATCGTATCGTTGGCTATGCATCAAGATGCGTATCGTATCGGCCTGAGGCATGAGATGCACATCCCTAGTCTAAATATTAGACGGCTATGGCCCTGTAACTAACCAGTGTGCAGTTTTCCACAATTTAGTGAAGTTTAAAATAATAATAATAAAAATAATAATAACCTTTTAATTTCTTGTATCTTTTATATATATTTTTTTAAAGATTAAGTTTTTTTTTTGGTACAGAACCACTTTGAAAAGAAACAAACATAAAGAAGCCACAAGTATATTTGAACACCACAATATATTCATGCAGAAATGTTAAAATATAAACTTTTTTTTATTAGTGTTACATCTCACCCTATTCTTTCTGTCTGATGTTTCTCAAAATCTTTCAGATAAATTTAAATACCTTTCAAATTAATTACATTTCATGTTTTTTCTAACATGTTAAGCTTTAATTGATTACCAACAAATTAAATCAAGGCAGAAAAATTGTATGTGTGGATTTCACAATAAGTTAATAAAAATACCATTTAATATTACAAAACAAAATTTGTTAAATGTTTTATTATTTAATGTTTTATTTATAAAAAAAAGTCACTTCATGGTGCCTATTTATTTTAACTAAATAATGTTTTCTTAAATATCTCACTGCAAGGATATAAGCATTTTTAAGATACAGAAGAGATTAAATCATACAAGAAAACATACAGCATATTCAGTAACTGAAGCCCTGTTTTGGCCCCAGTATAAATCAAATGTAAACATGTTTACGCAGATTCAAAATAATTAGCATCCAAAAAAAAAAGAATTGTCTAGGGAATTTATGTACTGCACTGCAGACAAACACACATACCAACATCTACAACCAAATTCTGTTATCAGTCTTGATCTGTGTTTACTGAAGGGAAGGGTTTGTACTTGTTCAGCTAAGTCAAGGATGACAAGAAGACTTTTCCATGTACACCAGGACAACATATACCAAACTGCGTCTTATCTAAGACTCGTAAGTGCAAGGATTTTACTACTCAACTGAAGAAATTTAGGAAATTTCTGATCATCAAGACAGGTACAGTACACACCCTTCATAAAACCGTAATCTAATACACACCCTTCATAAAACCGTAATCTAATTTTATAAACTCAATCATCTATACAAACTAATCTGATAGTATATAATTTACTTGCCAAAAAGTTCGATTAGATTTATTCTGTTCATGTTCAAAATGCTACATTAAAACATTGGCTTATTGAATGTTCATATTGCGTGTATATTTTTTTTCTACATAAACCTGTGACCAGTAGTTCGTTACTGAGTGAATACAAGTGAACTTGGAGTGAATATTTATTATGGAGTGGACAGTGGCAGAGTGATATTATTGGATTGATATTTTCTTGAGAATGAGACATTCTAGATTTAGAGAAATGTTTAGACAGAAAAAAAAACCAAACAGCTGATTTATTTTTCTTTTAGAATGGAGGTAAAGGTGTATGTTGAAGGAGTCCACCGCATAGTTTGTGGAGTCACTGAGAAAACAACATGTCAGGAGGTGGTCATCGCTTTAGCACAGGCACTTGGTAAGTAAATGTCTGGGCCAACATCTCAGTTAATTATTTCATAAAACAACATCTAAGTAACCATAAATCGGCTGTCAAAAACATGAACATGAAGAAAACATACAATTAGTCTGCAGGCATTTGCTGGAAATACTGAATATTTTTAAGAAGGTCAAATGCTCTTAAAGGCCTTAAAGGGTTAGTTCACCCCAAAATAAAAACTCTGTCATGATTTAGTCAACCTCATGTTGTCCCAAACATGTACAACTTTTTTTTTTTATTCTGTGGAACATATCAGAAGATATTTTGAAAAATGTCTTAAGTGTTTTTTGTCCGAACAATGAAAGTCAAAGTTGTTTTGGACCACACTGACTTCCATTATATGGACAAAAACAGTTCATATCAAAATATCTTTGTGTTCCACAGAGGAAAAGTCATACAATTTTGGAATGAAATAAGGGTGAGTAAAACTGTTATAGTTAATGTTCTGATTAAAAAACAATGTTCTGACTCTCCAAACAGCCAAATCCCAGACAATATTCAAGAAATAGCTTGTTCTAGCTTGTACTATTCTGGACAATGTTTGAAACGTTGTATTGCTAACACTTCTTGAGTTATTGCCTCCTTAAGATTAATTGCTTCATCATTTGCAAGTTGCTTTGGATAAAAGCGTCTGCATTTGTCCCAAAAATATCACTTTTAATATTGTTCTCACTCTTAGGTCGCACTGGTCGATACACTCTAAGAGAAAAATTCAAAGAATATGAACGTAATGTGACTCCAGATGAACGTCTCTTGGAGGCCTTGGAGAAATATGGTGAGCAAGCTAAGGAGGTGCAGCTCACTTTGAAGCATATTGGTCCATCCCTTGGGGAAGAAACAAACCAGCCCAAAGCCCAAATGAGGCGAGCAGAGGGGACAGGGAGAACGCGGAGAGGCAGCGGGGCAATCGCCCAACACCGCCAGAGCCTCCCACCGCTATCACGCCTCTGCCTCCACTCTGAGCCACCACCCGAGGAACCAAAGAGACCCAAGCGGAAGTCGCTAACACTAATGGAGGAAGCATGGGGTTGGCTGGAAAACTTGGGCAGAGGCGGGAAGCAGCAATCAGGACGAGATAAGGGGAAAGACAAGGAGGGCAAAAAAGGAAATGGGCACTCAGATAACACGTCTCTGAAACCAACCAAATGTTCCCTGGCTTCTGGAACACGACAGGCAAGAGACAAAAAAGACAAAAATAGAGTTGCGCCACATCAGCCTTTGATCAGTTGCCTTGGGAACCGTGGGAGATGCACTGATGAGAGTGCTGTATGTGAGAGACAAGAGGAAGAGGAACAGAAAGGGACAGAGGAAGACCTGAAAACCTTAAATCCAGTGGTTCCTCTGGTCCAAACAAGCCATCAAGAGACTGAGAGTGAGGAGATTGTAGAGTTAAGAAGACTAGTTGTCCAACAACAGGCTAGTCTACAAGAACTAAAGCTCAAAATCGAGTCAACAGACCAGTTGATCCTTGAGCTTGAGCAGCAGCAAGCTACCAGGGATTTTTCCAAGCAGCTATCGGAAGAAGAGGAACAGCTCAAGTTCTGGCTGAATGAACTCAAGGCGGAGGAAGTCTTTGAGAGAGACCTTCAGAGGCAGTTCTTTTGGATAAAAGAGGAAGCTGCTGAGTGCAAAGCTAAACTGGAAGAGTACAAACAGAAACTGCAAGCGATGGACTTGAGAAACTCCCAGCAGCAAACAGAACATGAAAACATCACCGGAGAGAATATCCAAGCAGATGCGCCAAAACCTGCCCAAAAAACTGTCAAACAAATACAGATCTCAGCAGACGGATCACATGGAGATGGTGGAACAAAAAGGGTGGTCACAATGCTGGAGTCCAAACTCCCATATGTGCTCGTTTCAGCAAATCAGATATCAAATCCTCCTCTAAGCAGACCAGAAGATCTGAGGGCATGGTGGACACGATGGTCTCAGAGCCAGAATCCAACATCAGTGACAAAACCCAAGATAGTGCACCGCTCTGAAATCACTGTACAGTTGGGAAGCACCAGAGTTTAAGCACTCTGAAACTTCTAAACCCCCTATCTTTTAGGTTTCATCATGGATACCTCATTTGTGTTTAATGTCATGAAAGTGTGCAAAGGCATGAAGATGATGTTTAAAGGTTCGGTACAATGCTTTGCTGATGAAAAATTAAACATAATACACCTTTCATTCTCATAAAATGTTTATTTCAATTGTTTCATTCAAGACCATTAACAAAAGTATATAGGAGAACCTTAAGGTTCAACACAAACCCAGGGTGCTCCAGAGAATACTCAAGACAGAAATAGCTCCATATGTCATAAGAAGCACTGCAAATCTATCCATGATTAGCACTCTATCCATTTAATCAATTTTCTTTGCATGTTTTTAAATTTTGCTCATTACACTTCCCCCACTTTTCATGTTCTACACACATTTGCTCATTTTATTCTATTCTGGTTTTCAAAAAGTCCACCCAAGTAAAAGCATACATTAGAGTATATTTGAACCTGCTCTTATATTTTGGTGGCTGTTCGGGGATAGAGACACCAATTTTTCTCTTTTAATTTTTTTGTTTGTTTTTAGGCACCTTTTTCTTTATTAATTTCTTCATTAGCAGACATGAAGTAGAACTCAAAGGGAAAAAAATTCAATTACATGTGCAAAGAAAAAGAGCTATATAAAAAAAAAAGGACTGCAGGCTACAAGATGCCATTAGGAATTCTGCACTTGCCCATACACCGATTGAGCTTGTGAAATCAGGACAGGAATAATAAAAAAAAGGTTCCTTAAAAAAAACAAAAGCCAATTTATTTTTGAAAATAATCAAAAATAGTCATTTATATATCAAAAACCATACACAAGCGGGTTCCGAGCGCAGAGAAAATTTATTAAGTTTTCAGATCCATGTTAAAACCAAAGGAATTGGTATGGAAAACGTGAGTGAAAAGAACCTCAAAGTCATTATTTTTCTCAGCAGAAAGAGCCTAGCAATATCTCGACTTCACCTGGGTGAAAAACTCAACATGGGAAGAATTCAAGTGATACAGGAAGAATAAAGTATATATAAAGGAAGTCAAAACACAGACAGGCAAAGCTACTCTAAAACAATAACTCACACAGCAGCAGGTGCAGAATTCCTGGCATTTCAATTTCAGCAGAAACGAAAAACAGGTCAAACAGTGCCCACATCTCAATCTAAAGATGTGAGAACTACAAAACCCTTTCCCCTCATATCCTCTGCATAACCTTGCAAGTTTACTTTTTCCAAACGTGATGCATACCACGCACACGCTCATACAACACGAGGGGTTTTGCTCAAATTACAACCAGACAAAAATGTCACACATACAATGAAGACAATGAGATGAGAATTTTTTTTTGCAAGGGATCCTGACACGAAGGGAATTATGTGTGCTAATTTTCAAGTCTTGATTTGTTTGTTACTCTGTGAATTGTGTTTATGGGTGAGAGAGATAAAATGAGAGCGAAAGAGACAGACACACACAAATCCCTTCCTCTGCCCTCTGTCTGATTGCTTATGTTCAAGGTGTTTCTTCCATAGTGAGGAGGAGGAGGAGGAAGAAGACAGGGGTGAACAGTACTCAGTCAGTAACACCAGGTTGGCGGGATTTCCTCTCTACATTGAAGCCCTGTAGGAACAAAACAGGTCAATATCAAAATGTGTCAATTGTTTTGGGCAAGTTTCATGTCAAAGTATTCTGGACTGCAGTTTTAGAAACAAGATCCTTTTTTTTTTACTTTTATTTTTTAAAAACCTGCAAAAAGTCAGTTTTTGATTTGGATTCAAGAATCAAGAAATGGTAAACAGAAATGCAGTATATTTATACCTTTGAATTGTCTGGGCCACGAGGCTGTCTTATAATGACAAGACGGGGGGCGTTGGTGTCATCAAGAGTGATGCTCTTCAAGCGATTGACCAGTCGGTCAGGACGAGGTGTTGCTACTGGTTTTGGACCCTCACTGTGTGTTTAAAAAAAAAAAAAAAAGCCCCCCAAAAAAGATATATAATTCTGGTTAGATTAATTAAAAAGCCAATATAAACAAAATATTTAACAGCTCAATTTTTTTTATATTACACGTGACTCAGATTCACACCCAACAGTCTTACCTGACTCTGCGAACATTGCAGGCACTGCATTTGCCTGTGCGTTGGTTCAGGATAACTGAAAACTCCACTTCATCTCCGGCCTGGAGCTCCAGACCATCCTGAACCTCCTTGACATGGAAAAACAGCTTTTTGCTCTCTCCAACTTCGTATGTGATG